GCGATCTTTACAACACGCATCACATTACGTATTTCATGGCACACTCATTTCATGCGTATTTGGCGCCACCTAGTGTTGTGGGTGTATTATTGACATGTCAAAGTCTAGACCCTGAATATAAGACTACCGCGTTTTTTCAGATGTATTTCCAAGAAAAAAACATCGTCTTATATTCGGGTCAATACGTTATTTAGCTATTAAATTATATATTTTAATATGTATTTTATTATAATTATAATAAAATAATCTTCTAATAATAATGATGATGATGACTAAATATGACAAGTATACATGCACATACTTAAAATAGTTAAATATACAAATAACAATAATAATAGATATTAGATTTTGATTTACTTCATATAAATAAGTTGCTATAATATAATTGTGAGCTATAATATAATTTAATATAAATTATATTATAATATAATATAATATAAAGTTGCTATAATATGTCGCTGTCGACCGGCTTACGTCACTTCTTAGTACACACTGTCGGTGCGAATGCAACCCTTTAAATGGTACTGGGAAATAGTTTGCGCAAAACCGTCCCAGTACTTTAGTACTGTACATTTAGCTCTGGAACTAAAGCGGTGCGAAAGGCCCTTACGTAATTTCGCCTGGAAAGCTGGTTAACAGAGATTCACGAGTGGCTTTTAATCCAGGATGAGTTACAGGAGATAGATTAGACAGCGTCTGGAGTGAGCCGAGGTTAAGTGCTTCCGTTAAAGACACAACAGGGGACCTAAGAAGCTGTCCATTTCATTAGTCACGTCTATCTTAATGTCTCATAAAAGAAGAGTTCTTACCTGTACACCAGGGTGTCGTCGACGGTGCTGTTGTACTGGATCTGGTACATTCTGATCCCGGGAATGTGCCGTTCGGACGGCCAGTGGATGACGGCCGAGTTTGCGGTCAGGTTTTCCACCAGCACCCTCTTGTTCTGCGGTTTGGTGTCGTTGCTGCCGGATTTGGTGGAGGTGGTGATGTCGGAGAGTCCCGGGTCGGCCTCCCTCATGTGACCCGAGTTGTTGACGAAGAGCGGCAGCGGGATCATGTTGACCTCCACGGCTGCGGTGGCGATGCCGGCGGCGTTGGAGGCCACGCAGTTGAAGGCGCCGCTGTCCTTCAGCGTGGTGATCAGGATGTCCAGCGTGCCGTTGTCGTACAGGATCGTGCGCGAGTTATTGTGCACCAGTTTGCCGTCGGGAAAGCGCCAGTGAATGGTAGGATCGGGGTCGCCCATCGCCTTACACTTGAGAGTCACGCCCTGACCCTCCATCACATAGGGTTTGGTGACCTGTGTGAAGAAGTTAAAAACAATGTTAATAAATATTGTTATTTAAAAAAACAAAAAACATTTACATGGTCAAATGTTCAATGGAAATAACAATTCAATTTCAAAATAAAAATAATATAAAACGAAACAAAACAAAATAAAATAAAATACCTGCATGAAGTGTGATGTTAAAAACAATATGCTTTTAACACATAGTGTTATATGTTATATGCATAGTAAAAAAATCCAAGGGAGATGATGCACCTGAAGGTTAATGGTGCTTTAATGTGACAAAGTAATATTTAGAAATGTTCAGAAATTATATTTTATGAATAATACTTATTAATTAATAATTTAAGTATACAAAGAAACAAACAAACAAACAAAACAATGTGCACTACAGTTCAAAAGTCTGGGGTCAGAAAGATTTCAATGTTTTAAAATGATACATATTTGTGAGCTATATAATTTCATGATTCTAAAATATAACATGATATATATTCTAAAAATCTTAAAAAATCATAATAAATCTTTTTTTATTGTAAAATAATTAGATACCTTCTTCTATCAACAATACAAAATTATAATGTATTTAATTTCAGATTGTTCTCTGTCAGTCTATCTATCTAGCTATAATTATGATTTTTTCTATAATTTGCTTTTGAAAGAAATCTCTTCTGCTCACCAAGGCTGCATTTATTTAATCAAAAATACAGTAAAAACAGTCAAATTGACAAATATTATTACATTATTTATTATTTAACATTATTACTATATCTTATTTTCTATCCAAGATTAATTTTGTTGATTAAAATAAAACTACAGACATTAAAAGAAAATCATTACTTGAAATAGAATAAACGCTAACTGAAATAAAATAAAATAAAAAACTTAAATTTAAAATTTAAAATGAAAAATACAAAATAAAACTAATTCAAATTACTAAAAAAAACTAATAGTATTTCAGTTTTGATACAAAATTTATGTTAAAAATTTATATAAATACAGTATATTTACTTTTAATATACTCACACAATCCTGCTCAAGAAACATTTCTGATTATTCTCTCTCTCTTTTTTAATTAAATGTTTTGATTTGTATTATTTTTAATTGTAATTTTATTTAAAAAAAAAATATATATATAACTTTGATAGTTTATATTTTTATGGAAACTTGGAATTTTTAGGGATTTTTTCACACAGTCGTGTTTGCTGACCTGGTGTTTGGTGATGAGCGGCGGCTCGCAGATGAACTCCTCCTCTTGAATGGACCAGAAGTACCTGTCCATCAGGAGTTCAGGAGAAGCGCAGGTCTCCAGGTCGTCCTCACTCGTCAGGCGCCGCAGCCAGAGCAGCTCACAGTTACAGTGCAGCGGGTTTCCTCCGAAGCTGACCGTCAGCCGGGACGAGCCTGACGCTCTGGGCTCGGACAGCACCTGCGCCTGCTGGAACAGTGTGTCCGGCGGAAGCGTCTGCAGACGGTTGGACGTCATGTCCAGCCGCACCAGCTTGGTGAGGAGCGTGAAGGTCCCGGCGCCGATGTGGTCGATCAGATTGTGGTCCAGCGTTAAGGTGTTGATGTTGGTCATCCTGGCGATGGCTTCCCACGGTAACGTCCTCAGGTTGTTGTAGGACAAATCCAGGTCCTCGATGGTGGAGACGAACTCGTCGAAGGAGGACAGTTCGATGTGGTGAACCTGATTATTGCCCAGGATCAGGTGCCTGAGGTTGATCAATCCCTGCAGCTGGTCGCTGTTGATGACCGTCAGTCGATTCCCGTCCATGTGCAGCGCTCTCAGAGACTTCAGGCCGAGGAACGCGTGCGGCGCGATCTGGCTGATGGTGTTGCGGGACAGAGTGAGGTGCACCAGGCTCGTCATGTTGACGAAGTCTTTTCGGCGGACGGCCGTGATGAAGTTGTCGGTCAGACGCAGCTCGACGGTCTTGCGGTCGATGGTGGGCGGCACGAACAGCAGGCCGGTTTTGGCACAGAGGAGCGTGAGCGTGGGCGAGATGGTCTGACAGATGCAGCGGCCCGGGCAATGCTGAGCCTTCACCAGCGCGCCGAACACCAGCACGTAAAACACCAGCCTCTCCATGATTCATCAGCTTCCTAAACCTGCACAAACAGACGGAACGAGACGAGTGATGTTAAAAACAATATGCTTTTAACACGTAGAACATTCTGCACAGTCAAAAATCCAAGGGAGATGATGCACCTGTAAGTTAATGGAGCTTTAATTTGACAAAGTAACATTTAGGAATGTTCAGAAATTATATTTTATGAGTAATACTTCAAAAGTTTGGGGGCAGTAAGATTTTTTTTTACAAACACAGAACGAGATGTCAGGATTCACACACACACACACACACAAATTTTTTTTTTTATTTCTAACTTACTACAACTAGATTTTCTAAAACTAAAAGTAACAACAATAAAAAAACTATTAAAACTATTTTTTTATATAAATACAATTTCAGTTAGTTGCCATGCATACACATTCCAACATATATTTTTTTTTATATAAAGTTCTATATATATGAAATTCAATTGTTAGTTGCCATGTTGAAGCACTAAAGTTACCAACCAGAAATAAATAAATAAAAATACTGAAAAAAAACTAAACTAAATAGTTATTTAAAAGTAATACAAATGACAAAAGCACATTACAAAAAAACAAACAAACATTGAAATTGAAATGAAAACTCAAAATATAAAATAAAAACTAAAATAAAAATAAACCTAGTATTATTTGTAAACTAAAATTAAATCAAATTAAAATAAAAATGAATTAAACCTAAATAGTAATAAAAAATAAAATAAAATAAAAAAGAATAAAAATGAAATAAAAATAAACTAAAATTGAAAACTCAAAATATGAAATAAAAAAAACTAAAATTAAATTAAAACGTTTTATTTTTAACCTAAAACTGAAATAAAAATAAACCTAAACTGTAAATAAACAAAAATAAAAATGGCAAAAGCACACAGCAAAATTTAAATTAAAACTGAAAATATAAAATAAAAAACTGAAATAAAAATAAAACAATCTTTTATTTATAAACTTGAACTGAAAAAAAAAAAATGAAACCTAAAAATTTATTTAAAAAAACTAATAATAAAAATATTATATAGAAGTACATTATTTAGTAACAAAATTACTCAAATTTAAATTTAAATGAAATACAATTTCAGTTAGTTGCCATGCATACACATTCCAACATATATTTTTTTTTATATAAAGTTCTATATATATGAAATTCAATTGTTAGTTGCCATGTTGAAGCACTAAAGTTACCAACCAGAAATAAATAAATAAAAATACTGAAAAAAAACTAAACTAAATAGTTATTTAAAAGTAATACAAATGACAAAAGCACATTACAAAAAAACAAACAAACATTGAAATTGAAATGAAAACTCAAAATATAAAATAAAAACTAAAATAAAAATAAACCTAGTATTATTTGTAAACTAAAATTAAATCAAATAAAAATAAAAATGAATTAAACCTAAATAGTAATAAAAAATAAAATAAAATAAAAAAGAATAAAAATGAAATAAAAATAAACTAAAATTGAAAACTCAAAATATGAAATAAAAAAAACTAAAATTAAATTAAAACGTTTTATTTTTAACCTAAAACTGAAATAAAAATAAACCTAAACTGTAAATAAACAAAAATAAAAATGGCAAAAGCACACAGCAAAATTTAAATTAAAACTGAAAATATAAAATAAAAAACTGAAATAAAAATAAAACAATCTTTTATTTATAAACTTGAACTGAAAAAAAAAAAAAGAAACCTAAAAATTTATTTTAAAAAACTAATAATAAAAATATTATATAGAAGTACATTATTTAGTAACAAAATTACTCAAATTTACATTTAAATGAAAACTGACATAAATTAACATTTAGATGGCAATAAATAAATAAATACATAAATATATATAACATCTACATAAAAATAAATAATAAAGTCATATCTGAAATTAAGGCTCCTAAATATCCTGTAGTCAGTATCATGTTTTTCAGTAACTTCTTGTAAGAATGTTTATTAAAAACAACACAAAATTAACCAAAAATATTTACATTTTTAATATTACTCAACAATGGAGAATTAATCTGACATAAATAAACCTTTAGAGATGTCAATAAATAACTAATAAAGTGAGGCTCGTACATCCTCAATGCAATGTAGTATTTCCTAGTAGTGAAATGGAATATTTAAAAAAACAAATAATGTGAGGCACAATATCATTTTATCCATGGTGAACCGACTGGTAGAAATTGGCTGAAAAATCAGAAGTGTTGATGACTTCAGCTGGAAAGGAAAGTCTTTTGAGAATCAACCCACGTTACCAATTAAATTACCACTGGATGAAAAAATGTGAAGACTTCACTTGAGAAAAACATGCGCTGTTGAATCATTCACAATAAGAAGATGTAATAAAGCAAGCTTTTCAATATAAAGCAGGAGCGTGCGGTGAGGTTACTGACCCTCTCAATCCTCCTATAGCTTAATAAAGCTTTTCCGAACCTTTTCCTGCGAGTCCAAGGAAAAGCAGCTCATCCAATGTAAACAAGCCTTAGAAAATCAGCCCGAATCCTTGATCTCTGCCATGTATTTCTTCTTAAACTCTCAACAACACAATGCAGATGGAGATTTTCCTCATAATCGAGGGCCGTGGAAATCTCTGAGTAATAGCTTTGTGCGCTGCGGACCGATTCTGAGCCGAAGTAACGCTGCGGAAAATTAGACGCTTGTAGGAGCGACTTAATTGTCCTATATATTGTGGCAATAAAGCGGTTTGATCTGCATGGGTCAGGTGTGGATACGCTTTGATGGCTGACGCTCGAGCTCTTTCATCACCATTTAGCCGTATTGATTTCTGCGCTCAGAGATTCAGCTCTCAATTAAAAGGGTGGAGAATAAAAAAACATAACATGCTTCCACTAAATCATCTGCCACGTCAGGTGTCTGTCTCTCTGTAATCTCTCCATCTTTGCAGTGTTCTTTCTTATTTCTGTCTCGCGTGTTTTATTCATCTGCTGTCCTTCGCTCTGTAACTCTCCATCATTTCGTGAGTGAATTCTCGCCGTGCTCCAGTTCATGACACGTTTGAGATTTTATGGTGCAGGTGGTAATATAATGAGATCATGTATGAAACAATGACTACATGAAAAACTCTTTCAAGTGTTATGAAGTCTCTTTGGCTAATTGGTTTTGTTCTTTAAGCCTCATATATGAAAGCAACACGACACTGACTGCAATATGCCAAGAGTAGTTTTAATAGAATCGAATCCATTAGATTAAGCTTTATTAAATTCATGATATATTCATGAGGATTTTGCTGGCTATATAAAATAAAGCAACACACTATGGTCATTAGAAAGAAAGGTCAAATTTTTACAAAATTAATCACTAAATCAGTGTTGTTTTAGTATTGAGATATATGTTTAAATTAAATTAAATTAAATTCAAGTTTATTTGCATAGCGCTTTTTGCTTTTCGCTTTTTTTATATTCTGTTTTCAAATTAATTAAAATTTTTTAGCAATTTTGTTGTTTTTATTTAAAATTTTATTCATTTTTTACATGTTTATATAGTTTTTATTAATTTTTATTTCATCTTTAGTTTATTTCTATACATCAAGTTAAACTAAATGAAAATGAAAGAAAATGTTGAAAATGAAAGACCGAAATGCAACTAGCTAAAATACGTTTAATACGTTTTTTATATTTTATTTTAAATGTAATTTAAATATATATTTTTTATCACATTTATTTGACTTCAAATAACTATTTTGGCTATTTTTTTTTGCTCTATAAAATAAAGCAACACTCTATGGTCATAAAAAATAAAATAAATATATATATATATATATATATAAATCTTGTGGATACGCTTTGATGGCTGACGCTCGAGCTCTTTCATCACCATTTAGCCGTATTGATTTCTGCGCTCAGAGATTCAGCTCTCAATTAAAAGGGTGGAGAATAAAAAAACATAACATGCTTCCACTAAATCATCTGCCACGTCAGGTGTCTGTCTCTCTGTAATCTCTCCATCTTTGCAGTGTTCTTTCTTATTTCTGTCTCGCGTGTTTTATTCATCTGCTGTCCTTCGCTCTGTAACTCTCCATCATTTCGTGAGTGAATTCTCGCCGTGCTCCAGTTCATGACACGTTTGAGATTTTATGGTGCAGGTGGTAATATAATGAGATCATGTATGAAACAATGACTACATGAAAAACTCTTTCAAGTGTTATGAAGTCTCTTTGGCTAATTGGTTTTGTTCTTTAAGCCTCATACATGAAAGCAACACGACACTGACTGCAATATGCCAAGAGTAGTTTTAATAGAATCGAATCCATTAGATTAAGCTTTATTAAATTCATGATATATTCATGAGGATTTTGCTGGCTATATAAAATAAAGCAACACACTATGGTCATTAGAAAGAAAGGTCAAATTTTTACAAAATTAATCACTAAATCAGTGTTGTTTTAGTATTGAGATATATGTTTAAATTAAATTAAATTAAATTCAAGTTTATTTGCATAGCGCTTTTTGCTTTTCGCTTTTTTTATATTCTGTTTTCAAATTAATTAAAATTTTTTAGCAATTTTGTTGTTTTTATTTAAAATTTTATTCATTTTTTACATGTTTATATAGTTTTTATTAATTTTTATTTCATCTTTAGTTTATTTCTATACATCAAGTTAAACTAAATGAAAATGAAAGAAAATGTTGAAAATGAAAGACCGAAATGCAACTAGCTAAAATACGTTTAATACGTTTTTTATATTTTATTTTAAATGTAATTTAAATATATATTTTTTATCACATTTATTTGACTTCAAATAACTATTTTGGCTATTTTTTTTTGCTCTATAAAATAAAGCAACACTCTATGGTCATAAAAAATAAAATAAATATATATATATATATATATATAAATCTTACAAAATTAATCACCAAATCAGTGTTTTTTTGTATTTTCTGTTTTCATATTAATTTAAATATTTCAGTAATGTTGTTGTGTTTTGTCAGATTTATTAATTGTCTATGTCTGTATAGTTTTAAAAAAAATAGTTTTATTTTTAGTTATT